GCACAGAAACTCAGGGTGGCATCGGAGGGAGGAGGGGCGGGGGGAAGGGAACCCAGAGCGCCCCAACCCTGGCTTTCCGCCTTGGAGCAGATTTGTGCCTTTCCGTCCCCACCTTTACAGCTTCTTCTCACTCCTATCCCCCAGATCTCTTTAATGAAAAGTAGTTTATTACCCTGCTGTTACTGCCCAGGCCCTCTGAGGAGGAGACAGGAATGGGGAAGCAGCCGGCATTAAATCCTTCAAGCCAGAGCCTCTTTTGATAAACCACCTGCCCCGCTGCAGGTCACAAAGGGTAAATTCTCTCCTGAAATGTGATCGATCCGTTGTCTGAGTCGTCCATCGATCTGGGCCTGGGTAACCAGCCTGTGATATCATTTACCAGTGAGGTTGCAAGACTGCAGAACACCACTGTCTTAAGCCCAGGGCTTCCCTGGGACCCTCCCCAGGTCGGTGAGGAGGGAAGAGGGCACACGGTGATGGGAAAATCCACTGGGTTGGGTTAGGGGGCCAGCTCAACATCGGCCCTAGGCGCTGGCTTTCTCACCGCTTCTCCCTCTGGTTTGGAAAACTGACTTTATAAGCCACTTGCCAATCTCTGGACTCGAGGCACAATTGCTACTGAATTTAATTTAACCCCCCCATCCACCATCTATTTCAAAATATTTTTTCCATTCTAGTTTCAAATATTTAAAGTAGTGTTTTCACAACTAATTCTATTGTTTCACAGTCACAATAAGCTTTGTGACTGTAGACCAGTGTAAAGCATCTGAAATGCAGGCCAAGGGTTTCACAACCTAACTATAGTAATACTTTATTCTCTGCACTGTCAGAACCCATGGAGCAACCTAAGACTTTGGTCCACATTTGCTTGGTACAGAGTGCCTCACTATCCTCCCAACTTTCTTCAGGAAGGATGCTAGAACATCAAACGATGTTGCTATCTAAGTATTTGACCTGGAACAAATCACTTAATACCACAGGCATTGGAGTCACTGCAGCGTTCTCATTTGTGAAATATAGGTGCTGATCTAGATGGTCTTTTAAGGTTCCTCCCAACACACACTCCAAACTTAGTAGTAACTCCTGTGGAGACAGTTTTGAGTTCTTTGTTTTTTTGTTATTAGCATGTAGGGCGTTTGACATTTAAAAAATAAGTATTTTTTAAAAATTTCTTCTCTAAAATTCTAGAATTTTAGGATTGATTGAGCACCTATGCTGTGTTCATTTACAAGGCATTTAAAAACATAAGAGAGAGTGAGAGAATTCAGTTAATGTTAGTGGAACTGAAAACTGAATCCAATTGACAAATGCTCATCCCTTCCCTCAAAGAGGAGAGTCCAGATGAGAAACGGGGATATCATTAAGATTATATCCAATAAAATGTGCATTAGGTTTCCAGAAAATAGAGGCCTGGAGTAATCAAGGAGAACTTCTTGGAGGAGGCTGTCCCTGCACAGGGGACTGGAGGATGGGCAGAGTTTGGAGTACCTTGGAATACTCTTGTCTTCTCTGGACTCCTCCAAGCCAGCTGCACTTGCCCTGAGCTGCTTTGACATGTGCATATTTGTTCATAACACACTTCATTTCCTCTGAAAACACCTGGTGCACAAGGACTGGCTGTAAGTTATACTTCTTTGCACTCTTCATATAGCCAAGTACTGTACCTTATACACAGTAGTAGTCACTATACAAGAATTTGTTGAATGATCAAGGAGAGAAGAAAAAGTGGAGTGAGGACCCTGAAGCCTGAACCTGTGGGCAACAGGCAGAGGGCCAGGAGGACAGTGTCTACCCGGGGAAGGGGTCAGTGAAGGGGGTGAGGCACAGGAAAAAGAAATAAGGTGTCCAGATCATGAGAGATCTTGACACTAGGCACAGGGCTTCTCTATCGGAGAAGATGATAGAAAACCATTGTGGATGCTGGAGTAGATGTCCTGGGAAAAGGTGATCTGGCAGTGATGCTCAGTGATGGGGAAAGGAGGAAACAGGGCATCACTTCCTTGAGCAAGGCGATAGACCCAGGGTAGACCCGGGCTAGACCCTCATCTCTGAGCTCCTCAAGGGAAGGGCTGGGCTGTGGGAGCCTAGGAGGGCCTCCGATGAAGAATCAAGACAGTCTGTGGGTTCAAGGTGAAAAGATTCGTAATGGCACTCAGCCACTCTTCCTCTGGGGCTGCAAGGTATTCCAGAAGTGCTAATTAAGCCTGAAAAGCCCCTGGTGAGGGGAGCTGGTGTTCAGCTGTTGGAAGGAAAGAAGAGGAGGGGGTTGGCTTGCCCTGGGTCCCCTGGTGAGTGCTTTCCACTCACCCTCCTTCTCTGGTCAGGATCTGAACGTGGCCTAAGCACAGAGATGTAGAGGAGGAGACGAGGAGGGGTTTCCAGTTGTTCCCTT